ACCACCGACACGCAGAAACCCAAACCAACTCCTCCTAAGTCGGGTAAGCCTGTGATGAATGTTGCTGTTCATGTTAATGATCTTTCTCTTTTCAGTAACCACCTGTATACTGGAACTGTCTCTGCCAACGGTTCAAATCCGGAGGGACGTTTCAAATTGAAGATCTTGAGGGACACAGCGGCTCTTCAATCGATCATCTTGAAGTCGGCTGTGCCCAACATCGCCTACACCGGAGAAACTGTCTTCATCACTGACCTCACTGCTACCACTCCTTATCCTCTCGCCAGAGTCCACCTGGATTGTCCCTTCGTGAACGGAGAAGTCCAAGTCGCCGTCAGGGAGAAGCCTTTTCCCATGCCTGGAGTGCAACTTCTCCTAGGCAACGACTTGGCAGAAGACCTGCAACCGACCAACCTGATCGTCATGGACAAACCCCAGGTGTGTATCTCTGTGCCAAATAACCCTATATTCGAGTATGTTCCAGCAAAGGTTCAAGAGTGATGAAGTTTCTCCTCCGGTTCTAGTGACCACCCGTGCACAAGCCGCACGACCACAGCCAGCTGACTCTACTGCTACCGCTGTCCCTCAAGACCCTCAGAAACTACCCCCGAATCTGACCAAGTTGGAGTTCCGTAAGTTACAGAAGGAAGATCTTACCTTAACACCATTATTTTTCCAGGCTGAGACTCAACCCGACAGTATTCCTAGGTTCTTCCTAGAGAACGACTTGCTCTACCGCAGATATAGACCCAGTAAACTGAAGGAGGAGGACGATTGGGCCAACATCGAACAACTTGTGATTCCTGCCAGCCTGCGGCCCACTATTCTACATCTGGCCCACGGAGCACTCTCCCACTATGGATTCAACAAGACTTACCATGGAATTCGTCAAGACTACTACTGGCCAGGTATGGTAAATAGCGTCAAACAGTACGTAAAACAGTGTCATACATGTCAGATGGCAGGTAAACCGAACATCTCTATTCCCAGAGCGCCACTGATTCCCATACAGGTGCCTGCGGAACCTTTCCACAGACTTATTATAGACTGTGGTGGTCCTTTACCTCGGACCAGTTCAGGTAACGCCTATATCTTAACCATCCTGTGTCCTACCACCAGATTTCCCATAGCAGTTCCAGTGAAGAACATTACGGCTGCTACGGTTGTAAAGCGCTTATTGAAGATCTTCACTCAATATGGATTTCCCAGGGAGATTCAGAGAGACTGTGGTCCCAACTTCACCAGTGATCTCTTCAAAAGGACACTGGAGGAGTTCAACATCAAACAGGTATTGTCCAGCCCCTATCATCCTGCTTCACAGGGTTCTCTTGAGCGTAGTCATCAGACTATCAAAGCACTCCTGAAAAAGTTTTGTAGTGAAACCTCTAAGGATTGGGATAAGCAAATTGATCTGATTATGCACATTTATAGAAGTCTTCCCAATGAGTCCCTAGGAGTATCTCCTTATGAGATGCTCTACGGCCGTAAGTGCCGTACTCCCCTCAAGGCTTTCAAAGACTCTCTATGAGATGCCACCTTCAGTGAGCATCAGAATGTGCCCCAGTTTCTTCAAAACCTTCAACACATTCTAGAGAGAGTCCACCGTTTTGCCCATGATAATCTATTGAAAGCACAGGAGAGGATGAAGACTCATTACGACCAGACCAGCAAAGTAAGAAAATTTAAGCCGGGAGACTTCGTGCTAGCGTACTGCCCTATCCCAGGTTCTCCTTAACAAAACAGGTTTTCAGGACCCTACCGCATCAAGGAGTGCAGAAACAACCATAACTACGTCCTCGAGACTCCAGATAGGTGGCGGAAGACCCAGCTGTGCCACGTCAACCTCCTGAAGCTATATAATGGTACTCCTCCCACTGTCATGTTAAACTATTCTACTTTTACAGAACCATACATCCACAGTGAGACCTTCCCTGCTTCTCCTCCCGAAAGCACTGACAAGGAGTCAGTGCTTTCTAATTCAGAAATCCTTAATGATCTTCCCAACTACTTTCAGGATAATCATAGTTCACCTCTCGTCAAGATCTTCAGAAAAGATCGGAGGTCATCTCGAGATGGGGGTCATCTCGGAGTTGTTCCGAGATGACCCCCAAGAGTGTAATGTTACCCAGCACGACATCCAACTGCTCCCCGACACCCGGCCGATTCATCAACCCTTCTACCGAATCAGCCCTAGCAAGAAGGAAGTCATGCGTGCTGAGGTGCAGTACCTCTTGGATCATGGACTGGCTACACCTTGTGAGTCCCCCTGGGCCTCACCCTGTATCTTGGTGCCCAAACCCCAAGGTAAGGTGAGGCTATGTACTGACTATCGTAAACTAAATATCGTGACTGTCAAGGATGCATACCCCTTGCCACGGATAGATGACATTCTATACGCCATTGGTAATGCCCAGTACTTGTCCCAAGTGGACTTACTGAAGGGGTACTATCAAGTGTGTCTAACAGAGCGAGCTAAAGAGATATATGCCTTTATCACTCCTTTTGGACTTTTCAGATATGAACGCCTTCCTTTCGGACTATGTAATGCCCCGGCCACCTTTCAGAGAGCTGTCAACTGTGTCATCCAGGGCTTGGATAACACATACGCCTACCTGGATGATATCGTCGTAGCATCCAACACCTGGAGTGAACATCTGCTCCAGCTGCGACGTCTGTTCGCCAAGCTCCTGACAGCCGGCCTCACCATCAACCTGGGCAAGTCCACCTTCGCGAAAGGTAAAGTGCGTTATCTGGGTCATGTTATTGGGAGTGGCAGCCTAGCTCCGTTAAACTCACACACTCAAGCCATCCAACATTATCCACAGCCTACCACCAGGAAGCAGCTCCTGCGCTTCCTTGGTCTTGCCTCCTACTACCGGAAATTTGTGAGAAATTTCAGTACAGTCGCCACACCTCTAATCCTATTAACCAGTCCCAAGCAACGGTATAAGTGGACCATGCAGCAAACCGTTGCTTTCGAACTACTCAAATTCCTCCTCTGTTCTAATCCCATTCTCGCCTCGCCAGATATCACCAAGCCTTTCGTCCTTCATGTCGACGCCAGTGGTACCGGCGTTGGTGGTGTCCTGATGCAGCAACGAGGCGAGGAGGTTCTACCTGTCAGCTACTACAGCTACAAATTGAAACCACACCAGAGGAACTACAGCACTATTGAAAAGGAGCTACTATCCATCGTCCTGAATCTCCAGCACTTCGCTCTGTCCCTACAAGGTGCCAGGTCTACCACCATCTTCTCAGACCACAACCCTCTCCGCTTCCTACATCAAGCCCAATTCACTAACCAGCGTCTTCTACGATGGGCTTTGTATTTACAAGATTTCAACCTGGAGATCCGCTATATCAAGGGTTCTGACAACATCATAGCCGATGCCCTCTCCAGAGTTTATGAAGTAGTAGCGACTCCACCTATTACTCCACCACATAACGACGTACTTCTTCCAGAACCACAGGCTTCGGGGGAGAGTTGTGACGATAATCTCTTTCAAGAGAGATTGAGCCTGCTCTTCCCTCCAAACTATGTCTCAAAAACAACTAATATAGAAGATATATCCAACAAGTACAACACCAAGGTTTGCCCAGAGAGCAAACGTATTCAGCACCGGGACACCTGCTCCACCTCCGCCACTCAAACCGGCAAACTGCTTGTCCGTCGCCTGCCTATCGCTGATTGGCTGGCGCCCGTCGCACCTGCTCCTCCACCCGCCACACTAGCTGATGTCTGAGCCCGCGCGACCTAGAGTCATCAGAATATATCGTGCTCTCCACAAGTTAACACGTCTCATTGGTAGACTAAGCCTTGGCTTACGTGTACTAAGGGAGGTGGCAGCTTGAAGCCAATATTCCTGCACTAATATATTTCCTTTGCTATTATTCACTTGTCTTAACGTAACTTTTCATTTGCCAGTGATTATTCTTATTATTTTGTTTGATTGATTTATGTTACAATTTTTATGCCCAATTTTATTCATGTTTTGCTTTTCTAACGTAATTAAAATTTCATTGTTAAATTTACTTGTGTTTTGTGTGTCTTCCCATTACCTTACCACAGACGAAAGTTCCAGATTTTCTCTTTTTGTTTCTTTATGTGACGAGGCCATACCCCTAGCTTTTGAAACAGCCGAACACCAACGCGTTACCGTCACATATATATATATATATATATATATATATATATATATATATATATATATATATATATATATATATATATATATATATATATATATATATATATATATATATATATATATATATATATATATATATATATATATATATATATATATATATATGAACCGAATGAATTCAGTTCATTGTTTCTAGTAACTCATGAAAATGTGTGAGTAATTGAATTAGGAAAACACTATTTGTCAAATACTAATACTGTTCTTAAAAGATTTCCCCATTTTGCACCCGCAAGATAACGTAAGCTTTTAAAGGTTGACAAATGTTCTTGTTTGAGGAGCTGTTTACTTGAGCCAGTTAAGCAAGTCCCAGCTGTGTCTGGGTACAAGTGACAAGATGAACAACCCAGCGGGTTTTCTTTCTTTTGGGGAGTGTTGTACATGCTGCTATGGCGGTGTGTACACTCACAAGATGAGTGGTGCTGCCTAATAAACTCGCCCCTCGGAGCAAAATTTAATGTGCGAGTAAATGGAACAAAGATAACTTCAAACTCTACCGAAAACAGATCCACAATTTCATTTCAGACGTCATGTAAATTGCACCGGGACTCGAGAGAGTGGCGGGGGGGGGGGGGTTGGATGGAATACAGGCTGACATGTCTTAAAATATTTAGCACAGGCTGAAGAGAACAAGCAAACGTCCGTGCGTTCCCCGGACCATTTCCTACACAAGTTTGGTTGACGATAACCTCTAGAGCCTCGCCTTCAACCTTGCACATAGTCAAAATAAACTTATCTGATTGTTGAGATATATATGGATCTAACCACATGACCTGAGCTTGGCTACACTCTTACCTAGTCTTGGAGTAGCCAGAGACGCCCAGAAGAGGGAGGGTTGCCATAGTGAGCGCGTAGAGCCAGGCGAGGACCATCACTTTCAGGGCAACTGGCAAGCGTAGCCTTTTGTTAAGGTGGATGGCGTAGGTGATGGCGTACCAGCGCTCCAGCGTGATCACTGTCAGCGTCAGGATCGACAGCTCAGAGGCGAACACAGTTAAGAACCCCGCTACTTTGCAGCCGGGACCTGCGGGTAAGAGACGCTGTTGAGGGTGCATGATGGGGGCCTGGAAGACCACATGTTGATGGTGTGAGGGTGCATGATGGGGGCCTGGAAGACCACATGTTGAGGGGTGTGAGGGTGGCCTGGAAGCCCACATGTTGAGGGTGCATGATGGTGGCCTGGAAGACCACATGTTGAGGGGTGAGGGTGGCCTGGAAGCCCACATGTTGAGGGTGCATGATGGTGGCCTGGAAGACCACATGTTGAGGGTGCATGATGGTGGCCTGGAAGACCACATGTTGAGGGGTGTGAGGGTGGCCTGGAAGCCCACATGTTGAGGGTGCATGATGGGGGCCTGGAAGACCACATGTTGAGGGTGCATGATGGTGGCCTGGAAGACCACATGTTGAGGGTGTGAGGGTGCATGATGGGGGCCTGGAAGACCACATGTTGAGGGTGCATGATGGTGGCCTGGAAGACCACATGTTGAGGGTGCATGATGGTGGCCTGGAAGACCACATGTTGAGGGTGTGAGGGTGTAAGATGGGGGCCTGGAAGACCAGATAAGAACAATACTGAGACTGTTAGTACCCATTGAAGACCAACATGAGCAGCTGTGGTGTTACTAGTCAACAGCTCCTGCACACTTTGCCTGTCAGCTGCTGAGGTGTTGCCCTTCAAGGTCCCTGAAAAGTGACACTCACTCACCAACTGTAAAGGTTCTCGTGTATAGTGACGGTGATAACAGGTAAAGGGTGATCACCGTTGCAATTACTTCCTGAATGGTTATAGTTCTCTCCTTTTGAACGGTCTACCTAAGCGTGTTCTTTCATTGGCTGTTAATTAGCTTCTTGAAGTACAAGATTCATGATATTTTTCGACTATACTGTTGCTACTGACAACTTGGGCTCACGTCGTGCAATCACACAGTTCAGATTGCTCAGGACAGCCTCTGTGGCTCCTAGTCTCGCCTGAGGAATAATCATGAGGTCGTTATTCTTGTCTACTTCTTTCATTTCGGCAGATTCGGTTTTATTGACAGATCGAGAGAACTGTCAATAGAACCTAAATTCTCTTTGGCTTTGTTGCGTTTTTAACACATTGTTCCCAAGGAGGTTAGAAAACGGATTTTAAAACTTACCTTTCCCAGGCTAACCTAACCTAAACCAAGCTCAATTTAGCCGACCCTGTTGGTATAAGTGGTTTTGACAGTCAAAAACTGAGCTTTATCGAACAGTCGTGTGCACGACTTGATGAAACATTTTATGCCTCAGTAGACTGCAAGTCTGGTATAAAGTCTTTAGTTACTGTCAACCTCGTCCAGGGTTCTCTCGTCAGTTATATATATTAGTATTTCAATGTTCATCTCATAGATTGTTTTTTTAATATATTTCTCCAATATCCAGCACTACACTTGTCGGAAAATCCGACACCATATAATAATACTACATGCAATTGCAGATAATATTGTTGCCATTGTATACACAAGTTAACCCATAGAAAATGCAGCTTGTAGTTGAATTTTCCGTCAATAGAAAACGGGATATCGTTGCCACATACTATTATAAATTCACCAGCTATTTGTTCGGAATTATTCTTCAATACATTAGTCTTTGGACTTTACCATCATGAAACATCTTATTTGAATTAAATTATTTATCAGTATTAAAATAAAGTAAATGTGACCCTTCTATCAGTTACTGATATCTGGACAAAGTAGGCCAGTAGCGTCAGTGAGGAAGGAGGAGTCAGCCATTGTTGTGAAGACCAGAGGCGCACTGGAGCAAACAGCTCCTATAATTTCTCTTGGACGAAGTGTAATGGAGATCATATTAGTGTTCTACCACCATCAACGCACTGTCAACAATAATCAAGGGAAGTGTTCTACCGAAACCCGTTTATCTAATCATTTTTGGCCATTAATGTTAGGAAAATATTGGGCGAACTGGTTAGAATGCGAACTCACCTCATACAGAAGGTAATTAAGCCTTGGTCCTTATCTGATTCATTATACAGTGTTTTCTCTGATATACCTGTCATATATTAGGATTCTGGCTTTACAGCTAGCTCCCTTTGACAGGTCAAGAAGAGGAAGCAAGCTTGGTATATCAGTTACTGGGTGATGGAAGCAGCCTCAAATGAGGATAATTTGGTATCTACATCCTAGTTATACCTGGTGGACTAAGGCCTGCTGTATAATAAGATAAGGAACCTCTTCAATGTATACTAATATATGTAGTTTAATACTGTAGTTTGGTTGGCTGCATATATAAATTCAATATAAATCCCCCTAATGTGTAGGGATCGACTTGTGAGATTATTGCAGAAATACAGTCCACTTAACATCATACAAATTGCTATCGAAGTATATATTAACGTAAATATAAATTCTATATAAATTCATATAAATTAAATAAATATAAATCTCAAAGGTCGGTTCCCACATTATATGGTCCTTTGAACCGAGATTATATGGTCATCATCGAGCCGGATGATGACCATTTGGTCATCTTTGTACCGGATGAACCAGTTAACCAGTGGATTCATTAAATACACTGGTACTTGTGCTGTGTGATTTATACAATACCAATACAAGGCCAGTCATAGACCGGCGGCGTAGCCTTCCTCGAGCGAGTTCACGAGCCCCCAGCTCAGTCCAGCTTTATCAGCGGTTTCATGGTCACCCACAGATTTGGTGGCGTGTTATTCCATGAGATGACAGCGCTAATATTGAAGCCAGCCAAATTAGTGGCTGTGTCCTCGCTAGATTGTTCACGGATTTCGTGGTGTTAGTTTCGCGAGAGATTATCCACGAATTTTGTGGAGTTAATTTCGCGAGGTCACTAACAATATTTAATACTTCTTGATGATATTAGAAGTTTCATAGAGGCAATTAAGAGGCTATTATCAATAATTGTGGATATTATTTCTCCAAAATAGAGAATTATTTATTATATATTGCACTAGTGTTCTCAATATAATATTTACCAATTGCCAACCCACAACAGGGTAGGATATACATTGACTAGTGTTTATAGATAACCTAGTCCCCTATTACCATTGACTAGTGGAACTATTTATTGTTCATCCTTGTCCCATTATTACCATAGTCTAGTTGTACTATATTGAACAACCTAGCACCATTAATGAATGGTGCAGACCCTATTTTGGGTGTAATTGTTATCAGCTCGAGTTGAGTTGTGTATATAATAATTTACTTATGATCATTACACCTTTGAGTGATTAATTAGCGTCTATACCATCCTAGGGTGATAATTGAAGAGCTAATTTAAAGGTACTTCCAGTAACACTCTTTTATCACTCAAATCATTAGTGTGTATGATTATACATATAATCTATAATGTGTATTAATTTTAAGTGCTAACCTCTAGAAGAGGAAGAATTATAGCCTAGTGATTGCAGAATTTTACCCTAGGCTACCATTAGTACTTGTTCAGCATTATAAGCAACCCAGTAAAAGCCCCACAAGGCTTCACCAACTAGCCAGTATGGATAATGCAGGGAGAATGAAAAGAACCCTTGCAGGTCTTAAAGGCCACTTAACAAGACAGGTCAAGAAATGTGAAGATTTGTCACAAGAATCTCCAGTTGATTATGCTGACCTGGAAAGCTATTATCAAGCAGCTGCAGCTAAATTTGAGCAAATCAAATGCAAATAACAACATATGTGGCTGAACTTGCCAACACTAATTTATCAGAAACAGAAATAGACGACATTATGGTTGATCTAGCGAGTTATGAAGATCACACTCAGACCACGTTACAGCCTTACGTCAAATTAATTGCCCAGAACAAGGCAACAACAACAACAGTTGCATCTAATACGGGTCAAGCAGAGGCTTGACTCCCTCCAATTAATTTACCCACTTTCTCAGGAAAAGACGAGGAAGATTGGGATGAATTTTGGAACAAGTTCGTTGACCCTGTGGACTCAAAACAATCTTTACCAAAGAGTAGTAAATTCTCTTATTTGCAAGGCCAATTATCAGGTGAGGCTAAAACAGTAGTATCCCATCTGAGATTAACTAATGACGGCTATGATCTAGCAGTACAACTCCTCAAGGATAATTATGCTGATCCAGAAGTAAGAACATCACATTTAGTTCATGAGCTGTTACATTTACCCCCACCGGAAGCTTCAGCTGATTCACTCCAAGTCTTCAAGCTGGAGGTAGAATCATTGATCAATGCCCTCAGCCTGATAGCAGATACAAACGGGGCAGAGTGGGTCTTGAAAATAATTGTCCAGGAGAAAATACCTAGGGACATATTGAGACAAATGAGTGCTCATTACAATAAAAGTATCTTATCCATGAATGAAATATCTGAGAGTTTAAGGTCAGTAGTTCATCAATTACGAACACATGACAAATTAAAACCACCAAGTAAATCCTCAGAAACCAATAATAGTAAACCACAGAGTACCAAAGGTACTCCAAATCAATTTAGACAATGTAATTCAACAACAAAGTGGAACAGTGGCAGTGTGGGCGTATATGCAGTGGGACCCTCCAAGCCTATAGTTAATGTGTCACCCAAGAACGTGACACCAAAGGGTTATCTTGAGATGATTTCAGGGCTTTTAGTGTCCCCGCGGCCCGGTCCTCGACCAGGCCTCCACCCCCAGGAAGCACCCCGTGACAGCTGACTAACACCCAGGTATCTATTTACTGCTAGGTAACAGGGGCATAGGTTGAAAGAAACTCTGCCCATTGTTTCTCGCCGGCGCCCGGGATCGAACCCGGGACCACAGGATCATAAGTGCAGTGTGCTGTCCGCTCGGCCGACCGGCTCCATACTGGAAGCTATGGAACATGTTTGTTCTGCAATGAGAAACATTCAATGTACCACTGCCCTCATTTTCCTGATAGTGACGCCCGTGTTGAGCGACTCAAAGATTTGCAACATTGCACGAGGTACCTCAGGAAACACAACATAGACTATTGTGATACCCAATTCAACACCTGCAAAAGGTGTAGAAGAGGTAGGCACCATGCAGCACT